TTGAATGGCCCCATTTTACCAATCGATGCAGCTCGCACTGTCTGACTGCCCTGTTGTCCTACCAACCTCTGTCATCCACACATTTTATCAACTGGGATTTTATATTGACTTGCAGATCACAGATGAAAGTCTTGAATAGTGTTGGGCCTCATTCTGATCCCTGTGGAACCTCACTAGAAACACCCATTTGCTGCTGATTCCCCACTGACGACCACTGTTTGAGATCTGTCAGTTAGCGAGTTCTTAAACCAGGTAACGGGTGCTCTATTGACATTGTATAGAGCTATTTTTTAATAAGAATGCCGTGTGGTACTCAGGCAAATCTCCTACAAAAGTCTAACATTTACATAAAGAACAGGAGGACTTGTGGCACCTTAGACACTAACACAGTTATTTCAGCATAAGCTTTCGTGGGCTACAGCTTCCGAAGAAGTGGGCTGTAGCCCACGAAAGCTTATGCTGAAATAACTGTGTTAGGCTAGGTCTACACTACCCGCCTGAATCGGCGGGTAGAAATCGACCTCTCGGGGATCGATTTATCGCATCCCGTCGGGACGCGACAATCGATTCCCCGAATCGACGCTCTTACTCCACCAGCGGAGGTGGGAGTAAGCGCTGTCGACAGAAAGCCGCAGAAGTCGATTTTGCCGCCATCCTCACAGCGGGGTAAGTCGGCTGCGATATGTCGAATTCAGCTACGCTATTCACGTAGCTGAATTTGCGTATCTTAAATCGACTCCCCCCTGTAGTGTAGATGTACCCTTAGTCTCTAAGGTGCCACAAGTCCTCCTGTTCTTTATGTGAATGTTAGACTTTTGTAGGAGATTTGCCTGAGTACCACACGGCATTCTTATTAAAAAATAGCTCTATACAATGTCAATAGAGCACCCGCTAACTGGTTTAAGAACTCGCTAACTGACAGATCTCAAACAGTAGTCGTCAGTGGGGAATCAGCAGCAAACGGGTGTTTCTAGTGAGGTTCCACAGGGATCAGAATGAGACCCAACACTATTCAAGACTTTCATCTGTGATCAGCAAGTCAATATAAAATCCCAGTTGATAAAATGTGTGGATGACAGAGGTTGGTAGGACAACAGGGCAGTCAGACAGTGCGAGCTGCATCGCTTGGTAAAATGGGCCCATTCAAACCAAATGCATTTTAGTTCAACCCAATGCAAAGTCTTCTACAGGTAGGAACAAGGAATGCGGACCCCACCTCCAGATGGGGGAACTGGATCCGGAGTCTGAAAAGGGTCTAGGAGTGAGAGCAGACGAGACTGAACCTGAGCTCCCAACATGTTGCTGTAGCAAACAGGGCTAATGCGATCCTTGGACGTATTAACAGAGGAGTGGTGAGTGGAGCAGGCAGAGGATTATACCCTGGTACCCAGCACTGGTGGGACTGATGCTGGAATACTGCATCCAGTTCTGGTGTCCACATTTCAAACAGGATGTTGGGCAGAAAAGAACCACAAAAATGATTCAGCTGAAGAAAACGTGAGAGACTGAAAGAGTTCCGTCTGTTTATGAAAAGGAAGCCTGAGCGGGGAGTTGGTTACAGCCTGGAAGTACCTTCATGGGGAGAAAAAAACAGGTACGAGCGGGCTCGTTAACCCAGCAGAATCATCACAAGAACTACTGGCTGGAAGCTGAAGCCAGACAAATTCAAATGAGAAATGAGACACGAATTTGCAACAGTGAGGGGCTTAACCCTGGAAACAAAGGATCAAGGCAGTGGTGGATTCTCTAGTTCCTGGTGTCTCCAGA